AGCCTATGAAATTGAAAAAAAGTCTTTAGTTGAAATAGCTAAGCAATTTAATATAAGTAAGTCGGTTTTGCACAGACATGTAACAAGAAGAATGAAATGTCAAGGTGGACAAAGATGTCTAAGTGAAGAAGCAGAAAAATACATAATAAAATATATTAATGTTTGTTCAGAGTGGGGGTATCCACTTGATTNATTAAAAACAGCAATAGAAGCCTATGAAATTGAAAAAAAGTCTTTAGTTGAAATAGCTAAGCAATTTAATATAAGTAAGTCGGTTTTGCACAGACATGTAACAAGAAGAATGAAATGTCAAGGTGGACAAAGATGTCTAAGTGAAGAAGCAGAAAAATACATAATAAAATATATTAATGTTTGTTCAGAGTGGGGGTATCCACTTGATTCTTATGACTTACGCATGATAATAAAGAGATATATAGATCGAATTGGTATAAAAATAAATAGGTTCACTAATAACTTACCTGGTGTGAATTATATTGAGAATTTTTTAAAGCGTCACCACCAAGAAATTTCACCAAGAATAAGCCAGAACATCAAAAGATGTAGGGCTGCTCTATCACCACAAATTATAGAAGATTATTTTATACAGCTTCAAAATTCAATAGTGGGTGTACCTTTAGATAACATTGTTAATTACGATGAATCTAACTTAGCCGATGACCCTGAAAAAAAGAAAGTTTTAATTAAAAGAGGCGTCAGATACCCTGAAAGGGTTATGAACCACACACAGACGTCAACGTCACTTATGTTGGCTGCATCTGCTGATGGTAGCCTGTTGCCTTGCTACGTTGTGTACAAAGCTGAGCATCTTTACAATACCTGGACTAGAAATGGCCCCCCTAATTGTCATTATAACTGCACTTCCTCAGGCTGGTTTGGCGGCAATACGTTTGAGGATTGGGTGGAAACCGTGGCTCTTCCATACTTCAACAATAAAACTGGAAAAAAAATTTTGATAGGAGACAGCCATTCTTCACATCTGTCGTTAGATATCATAAAAAAATGTCAAGAACAAGATGTACACTTTGTGTTTCTTCCCCGAAACTCAAACCACTTAACACAGCCACTGGACGTAGCCTTTTTTAGTCCTATGAAAATTGCTTGGCGTAATATCTTATTGGCATGGAAAAAAACCGCAGGACGCGTTCTGCCCACAATACCAAAGAATGTTTTTCCTCAATTACTTAAGGAGATGTTAGAAAAAATGGAACCAAATATAAAACAAAATATTTTAGACGGATTTATGGAAGCAGGAATAAGTCCTCTGAATAAAGAAAAAGTACTTAATAGATTACCAGGAAATTATACAAGACAAGAATCTAGTACGGAAGAAGAAGAAGCAATATGCCCCCAAGACTCAATCATTTTGATCCTGACATAGCATTATGTACATGACAACTACCTTATGATTGTTTATCAAGTTGTTTTTTTTTATTGCTTAGATGGGTGGACGAGCTCACAGTCTATTTGGTGTTAAGTGGTTACTGGAGCCCATAGACATCTATGACGTAAATGCGCCACCCACCTTGAGGTATAAATTCTAAGGATTCGGTATAGTCACAACGGCTGCCCCACCCTTCAAACCGAAACGCATTACTGCTTCACGGCAGAAATAGGCGGGANTTATCAAGTTGTTTTTTTTTATTGCTTAGATGGGTGGACGAGCTCACAGTCTATTTGGTGTTAAGTGGTTACTGGAGCCCATAGACATCTATGACGTAAATGCGCCACCCACCTTGAGGTATAAATTCTAAGGATTCGGTATAGTCACAACGGCTGCCCCACCCTTCAAACCGAAACGCATTACTGCTTCACGGCAGAAATAGGCGGGGTGGGATACCCGTGCGGACTCACAAGAGATCCTAACATCAGTTTGATTTTTATTACGCGATGTTATTCCTTCACTGTGGATGTAAATCGTGAACATTTGTTAAGTACCTATGTATTTCATTAGAAAAATTCGAACACTGGTGCATCGCTCGATACGAATGCACCGGACATCTTGTCCTTTAGGCCACGACGACTTCCAAAATTATTTTTGTCCCTACACCCCATTTTACGGTACCTACACCCTAAATAATTGGGATCTAGTTGTACCTCGTATCTGTATTAGTGGTGGCAAATATAACAATTAACCAATAAGTTTATCAGTAAAAAAAATTAACACGATTATTTTATTCGATAAATAAAATTAACCTAAACGGTTAAATAACCGTTTAACAAATACACTGCGTGTGTGTAGTCGCATAGGTAATTATTGGAAATATACATGCATATATATTTATATACATGCAAGTTTCAACTATATTCCTCAACACATAAGATTTATTTTCGCCTTGCAGATGACTTCAACTTATGTAAATGTTTAATTTTGATGATTTGATTGTATGCTCAAAATAAAGCACAATGGTTAACTTGGTGTTTTTTATTTTTATTTGTTAGAAAATTAAAATGGACGATATTTTTAACTTAGCGATCGCGAAGATGACGTGATTGGTTGTTTTTTTTTTAAACGTAATATATTGTTTGATAATTGATATTTCAGCATATTTTTCATTGTTTTGGTAAAGTTGTGTTTATTGTATAATTGGTAATTATTGTATTACTATGTTATTTGTAATTATGTAAGCTAGTCAGTCTTAAGCCTGTAGAAGTATGAAGGAAAGTTCATTGAAACAAAATTAATGTAAGAAACTCAACCATTCGAGTTTAAGGTTCGCTAAAATTAATTATTCAACGAAAAGATTTACCCGATATTTTCAACTAATAAAAATATCGGTAAAAAAATATCAGTTACCAATTAACAGATAAATAAATTCAACCGTTAACACGATCTTTAATTTGTATGTTAAGCGCATCGAACTAAACTTCTAATTCGGAATGTGGATCATAGTTTATTAATGCAAGACTCTCCAGGCTGAGCCTTTACTCGCCCACCTGTCCTGGTGAAACTGGAAAGGCCTCCGGGCCAACAGTAATACGTCAATTAAAAAAAAAAAATTAATGAAAGAGTAACGCTCCGCTAAAGTTTTATGAAAAACATTGTTTTTTAAACCGATAGTGCGCCATCTATCGTGCTTTGCGGGTACTATGAGAGAAACCTTCCCTGGTAGTACAAAAGCACTTTTTTTCTACCTATTCTAGTAACCTTGAGGGGTTATACTAGATTCACCGAATTAGTAGGTGAGCTCACGGGACTCAAACCTCACGACGCTGCTAACACGAACCCTAGCAAGAGCCGTGCTTCGCAGAATCTACTGCCGGATCGGAAACGCGACCCACTGAGAAGATCCGGCGAGAAACTCAGTGGGCTGTGTCTGTGGGTTAGTTTACTCGTCAAGCCCTTCGTTGCAAGCGACGGTTTCGACAAGAACGATGACCGGTGGTTGGGGTACCTAAAAGCACAATTAGTGGATCAGGAGGATCCGAAATGAAAAAAAAAGTACTATTTCATGACAATTAGAAAGCTTATTAACGCATGACGGACAAATATACTTACATACAAACACTCTTTTTTATTTATACACCGACAGATGTTCTTCATTCATGTTTTTAAAATATTTATGCTCGCTACAAATAACCTACTCATAAAATTCTATTTAAATAAACAAATAATACGCAACTAAATTTGTGTATTTATTTATTTCCATACATAACTACAGATCACGGCCGTACAGTCGGTTACTGACGCATAATCATTTTTCATTATTTTTTTGGTACACTTAAGAACAAAACGTGTTTAAAAAACCTTAATCTAATTTCGGATTTAAAATTAACCAATCATGGCCATCGAAGCAGTTCAAAAACTATACAGGCAATGGGAGGGAAACTTTTTTTCTTTCAAAAGAAGAAACAAAGACCATTGACCTAGTTTGATGATGAAGCGACTCCTTAAATATGTAACTCAATTAAGTCAAATACTGATAAGAAACTACATCCTCTATGCAGTTGCAATATTAAAGTCGAGTTTTGTAATGGCATTCATCAAACATTTAAATTTTTTTTCTCTCAAGAACTACTAATTTAATTATAAATGACTTACGAGAATACAGCTTTTATTGATCCGTAACGTCCTGCGTCAGAAATAAATGATCCTAATAGTCATAATTTAGAATCTTTTTCATCAAAATCAATAAAGCCATCAAAATCTTATGACTATTATAATAATATTGATATTGGTTAGTTTTATTAGATTCCGACATAATAATAAATAAAGGCAGACTTATTGATTTTCCGTTTTTCGACGTTCGCGTCCACAGACACCGCTACGATGGCCATAGACAAATGCGAATATTAATTCAAAGTGTGGTCCGAACTATACATAATACAAAAAAAAGAGAAAAAAAATTATAATAATTCAAGAATTAAATTAAAACTAAAAACAACGAGCAAACAAACATGAAAACTTACGATTTAAAAAGGGATTTATATATTACAAATAAAATCATATCCAATGATTCATATTCCGCGACTTAAACCATACAAACGAAGCTTGAAGTAGAATTTGAACTATAAGTTTCTTTTCATCTGATAAATCTGATGGTCGATAATGGTTTAATATAACGATAAACTCGACGTTATCATAAAATATTGAATAACATTCCTCGAATTATGTATCAATAAATTGGCAATCGTATGTCTCTCCAAAAATTTAAAATACGAAGATAAATAACAAAAAAAAAATGTTTTCTTGTCTATGAGCAAAAAACCTTGCAGAGTTGCTAGACGTATAAAAAAAATCTCTTTTCTACTCACTAAAGAGAAAATATCGTGCACTGACGCCGTAAATATATATGGAATGAATTAGATAATCAATTGAATATATGCAATTTCGAAAAGGGCACATTTCTGAAAATGTAAAATGTTCAGGAAATGAAAAAAAACTGATTATTTTCTAAAGCAGTGTAAAATTTAAAATGTTAACTTTTGAGATATATTTTAGTGTTAATTAGCAATTGAAAATTACTGGAATTATTACAGAACGGGTGTATGTAAGCCTCAAAACTACATGTATATGAAAAAACGTATTTGACAAAATATGCGACATGTGCCCTTTTCGAAATTGCATATTCAATTACAAATTCTACTTCATAGCTTCTTTATACAATAAACGTAATAAAAGGATTCTCCGTAGGAACGTTCCCAGGGTCGACTTTGATTCAACAATCTTTTTTAGTCGTATCCGTGATTTAATTAATAAAAACATAAAACTATTATAATTTACGTTGAGTTTTATTAATCGAAAGGTAACAAGAGAATAACAAATGAATTAATATGCACGAACTTTTTGTATAGTAATTGAAGATAACATTATAATCATATCTATCAATCTCATTATTTGTATTATTAAGACGATGAGAATAGAAAGATTAGAGATGAGTTCGACATAATTTTATTATTAAGACCTTATAAAATTTTGAGTACCAGTAAAAACATTGGAGGAACATTACATGTGTTATTCTCCTGCACCCTTCAGTTGTATTTGTTTGTTTCAAATCATTCATAAGCCTTTGACATCGCTCTTCAAGCTACCACTTTATCCTTGAAGAGCATTAGGCCTGACTTCTTCAATTATAGAAAGGGATACTAACTATAATTTAATTTTCACTTATTTTTTTTATGCAAATTTAGGTAAAGGATAGCATAACTATTTACATTAAAAGCTTTACAGCAACACAATCAGTTTTATTTTATTTTAAATATAGTAACCCTAAATTGTCATTGTGACGTGATACTGGCAACCCTGTGTGACAAACTGACTGAGATATAAGTTGCTTTTATTGAGGAGTTTTACGATTTAAAAAACCAAATTGACTGCTAATAATTTGGATACCGTCATAAGATTTATTTTATATTTTAGCCCAATAAAGTGCACAGCAGTGAGGAGTGAGTGGGCATATGTATAATGTATTTTTAAAAACGGCCTTCTAATCTTAACTTACCATTTTACCAAAGTTACCCAGTTTTGGTTGACTTCATAAAACTATTCAGTATAGCAACTTTTATGCACGCACTGCAATTTATGCATAGTTGGAAGGTGTACTGGAACTCAAAAAGCTCATACTTAAGACTTCAGTTTTTTTTTTAAGAACTTTTTCATAATACAATTTGTATATTTCTATAGATATTGTTTATATTAAGCGTCATCCAACAATTCTGTTTATATATTTAAATACAATTTTAACGTGTTACAACAAATATGTTTAATTTACACGGAGGGGGGATTTTTTTTAAATTTTCTTCATTTATTCTAATAAGATCTAGAAATAATAACGTGATCTCACAGTGATTTCCATAATATTAGACGAAAACAATAATGAACTTATTAAATTTTGTTATACATTCAGGAAAAGTTGATAAATTGATTAAATATTCTCATTAACCTCATGTTATTGCGTGTGTAAAATATTTAACGCTTACTACGGGAATCCGATGAGTGAGTTGCGTTCGACATGTTTTGGTAATTTCAATCTTCAGGGCATGTGTACAAGTCTGGTGTTCGTTTAGCAAAAACATTATTAGTATATTACGTAAAATACGTTTATTTACAACTAGGCGTGTGTCGCGCTTTAATGTATCAGGCGGGAGGAGCGCGGGATTTGCCGAAACTTGAAACGATCGAAATTTGTATTCAGCTTTACTCCGCGCAGATGTGCACCCAATAATGGAGTTGTTTTGATTCTGAAAACAAAAAAAAAAAACAATCTTCAATACCGACAGAGTTGAACCGCGCCGATAGTGGCGCCATCTGTTCCCGACTAACGTGCAACTCAGTACGCGCGTTTCATACTCAGTCCAATGTTACTTGTTAGCTAAATCTTTTCTAGCTAGCTAAATGCTAAAATTTTTCTAATATTTTTATAGACAGATGTTTTACAGGTGTTTTAGAAAAATAAGAATATAAATTTAAATAAGATATGACTTAAAGGTCTTAGTTACCAGGACATAAAATCCCTTAAAAAAAGTATTTGACAAGAGAATCCTAATAGTGTGCAAACTTATAATTTCAGTTAATTATAGTCGAATTTCGACTAGTGCGGGACCACTAGTTTCTCATAATTATATTATTATCAATACTTGATACGTGACGTGCGGTCCTCACCGGCGTGCTTGGGGCGCGTCACTCGCGTTTCGTCTGCATCTCGTCAATGTCGGTCTCCGGGGTCTGTTCCAAGCCCGGCAGCTGGATCTGGGTTTCCGACGCTTCCGAAGGCTGAAATTAAATTTTAACCCTTTATAGTAAATATATTAAACATATATCGTGCTCTAATCATTCATAATATACACATTAATACAAATTGTTAACGTTCTATGAACGTTCGAAAGGTTTGTCTCAACGCGTATTTGCTAAAAATGTCGGCTTTATTTTTTTTACTTCAGCATACAAGAAGTTATTAAGATTGTGAAACAAACCTAACTCCACAGCCGACTTCAAAAAAGGAATCCGCTGCGCTTTCCGCTCGTCTACCTTTGTACGGTTCAATTAAGACAATCAAAATACTCAACGCATAAAAAAAAAAAAAAAAAACATAACTAATCAGAAACCTTCCTCGTTTGAAGTCGGTCAACAATCCCGCACTGCTGAGTCCTAGCGACACTGACGTAATTACCTTGGCATCGATCCCATTAGGACGTCCAATGTTCAGCTTGAAACACACACACACACACAAACAGTAGTTTTACATGTCACTTGGCACACATTGTTAGCGAGAACAAAAAAAAAGAAACAAGATAAAGCCTTTACTACACATTTACAATTAATACAAAGGTAGACGAGAGCGTACAGCGCACCTAGCATACAATATTACAATATTAGCATACAACGAATGTTGTCAAATTATATTAGTATATTATATATATGAGTTACGTGTAACGTTGTTTGTCCGCGATGGACACCTAAACTACTGAACCGATTTTCATTTTTCTTTTTTTTAAATATGTGTTTTGTTCCAACTTAGGCCATATGATGGTTTTTATTTCGATTAATGGCATCAATATTTATTAATTAACAATAAAATTATTTCTTATGTTGATTATTGGTATTAATTATAAGTTTCACAAGTCTAAAATAGATGGCACCTTAAATCAGTTTTCACCGACAACTGTCTGACATTAAAATCTCATAAATGACGTTGTGTTAAAAATACTAACGTTCCACATAAGCTACAATTTAATGGCATAAACACCACGTGTTGCTGAGGCTAAAGTATAAGTGAAATTTATTTCGTAGTAACCGCAATACAGTGAAATCCAATTGTTCTTAGTTTGTTAATTTTTGGTATTAGCATAGTCGGCCACGTATTAATTAGAAACAAAAACCTTAGCCACAGCAACGTGTAACTGGGCCTGCTAGTATTAGTATATACATGCTATAAGCTTATTTAAAATTATATTGTTAAAATTGAATTTTGTAAATACCAAGCTTGCCAACCTAAGCTGTTGAGTGTTGCCATATAATGTAGAATTTTCAATGTGACCAGCTCGATGAAGTTTTATATTAATAATTCTTTTTACTATAAAATTCTAGTAATCATATTTTTTTAAATTAAATTTATTATTATATAACCTAATTAGCTCTCTTTAGCGACTTAGGCTGGCCAACGTGGAATTACAAAACACAGTCTTCGTCAATGCCGTTAACTTTCAGAGACACTGAACACATTACCCGGGCCCAAACCAGAGACATTTAGCATGAGAGGCATGCACGACATTGAGCTGTGTATTCTACAACTAGACATATACAGTAACGTTTACCGGGTGTAGTTAATTTTGTCTTTCCTACCTAGCTGATAGCCTTCAGAGGCTATTTCAGCGTAACCTTAACTAGTAGGTGAGCTCACGGGGCTCAAGCCTGACGACGTTGCTAACACGAACCCTAGCAAGAGCCGTGCTTCGCAGAATTTAGCACCGGATCGGAAATGCGACCCACTGATAAGATCCAGCAAGAAACTCAGTGTGCTGTGTCTGAGGGTTAATTTACTTGTCGAGCCCTTCCTCGCAAGTGACGGGTTCGACGAGAACGATGACCGGTGCTTGAGGTACCTAAAAGCACCGTTAGTGGATCGGGAGGATACGTAATGACGTGTTTTAGACCGTGGTCATAAGCACTCGTCCAACACATCAAAAAGTGTGCATTTACAATTACCAAAAATTAAAATATGGCTAAAATTATCCCAAATAACATTGAACTCTAATAACTTGACACAGACTACTGTTATCTCATTCATCGATCATAAGGGCAGAGTAGGGTGTCCATAATTTTAGAAAGGATTTTATTTTTCTTTTTTTTCCTTTCTTATTAGAGCCATACACCTATTAGGTAAAGTCGGCTAGAAAGGATTTTTAGGACCTCAATTTTTTTAGGTTATTATTTTTTGTAACTTTTTCATCGGCTTACCTCTACATCATTAGTGTTCTCTCGTTCTAATCGCGGACGTTTCCTGATGCGCGTTTCGTCCTGTGCCGGCGCGATCGCCACCCTCTTCGGTTGGAACTAGAGTGAACAACAAATTCAACATTAAGAAATATTATCAAGTAGGTACCATAAATTTAAAATGAATTTAGAGATCATGCAGGTTATGAATTTAGTTCATTGAATTTCATGGTTCTCGTTACAAATAAGATAAACGTGGTCTTATGTTAGTGTTACTCATGAGAGAGCTCCTGTTTTTACGAAATTTAAAAGTCAGTTTTTTATTTTATTTTTCACCACACTTAAATTACTTTCTTATAAAATTATGAACTTGAACGTGTAAAAGAATGGAGAACTTGCTATAATTTTATTTAAATATACACAAAGATTTTTTTAAAGCACATCTTAGCTTTCATAAAGTCGCAAGCTAAGAAACGTGACGTCACTCTACAAGACGTTTAAAATCATTATTCGCGAACATTGTTTAAAAGGCGCCTGAGTCGCTCAACTATGCCTTCTTTTGTTTTTAAAGTACAATTATGTTCAGTGTGCTTAATGGAATTTTTTAACGTTCTCGATGGAGTAAAAATTAACTCAAATTTGTATGGAGTGCCTACGTTTGCCGCTAGGGGCGCTGTTTCAACCGCATGCAAATTTGAGTTAACTTTTACGCTATGGAGAACGTTAAAATACTCGCACTAAGCACACTGATCTTTTAGGTCTCTTAGAAATAGATTCATTCTTAGTACCTTCCGATTCGTCTTTCCCAGAATCTAATAGATATTAGTAACAGAAATCAATATAATTACTTCAGGGCGCCATGTAGGACACCGGTGACCTACACGGCAGTCAAAGTGTTAAATACACTTTTTACGTCTAGTGATAATTAGGTACTATAAAAATAAAACAGTTTTTCTTTGGTTGTGTTTTTAGTAAGCATTATTTAGCATTAATTATCTTTGAGCTTGAATTTTTTATACATTTCCATACATTTTTTTATTAAATTTTTTTTTATTGCCTTTCTTGGCAGACGTGCATACGGCCCACCTGATGGTGAGTGGTTACCGTCGCCCATGGACTTCAGCAATGCCAAGGGCAGAGCCAAGCCGCTGCCTACCATATTACTTTGTAATGCTATTTCTACAAACACTCTTGATTAACACTATTCTATTTGAAGTTTTGTGCATATATGTAATGGAATTTATCTACTCAGCTTAAATTTTTGTTGGCCTTTTGCTATTGGATACTATTTGTGGAAACTTATGGCCGTTGATAACTAAGCTTAAATAACACAAAATCAGTTTAGTTACAGAAAAATATTTAAAAACATTAATATGTATTAATTTACTGTATTAAAAATCATAATAATATTGTATGAATTAAAATCATAAGTGCTTACGCAATCTTGAGCGTTAAAATTAGGGCGGTGGTCGCTATTTATGTGTGAATTGAGTACAATGAAAGAAAAAAAAAATTAAATATTGTACAACTATAATAATATAAACCATGAATGTTGCTCGTCGCAGATTTTTGATCGGAATAAGTGCAAAGTATTTTCTTGGACGGTATAAGGTTCCACATTTATATCTATAATTTAATGTACGAACTATTATTTTTTATGTTTCGAACATAGATAACTACAATTATATAACTACAATTATTTCGCCTCAAAGAAAAGTATTTAAAATTATAAATGATATTCAGACTGATAGAATAGAGCCTTGCGTTAACAATAGTGACAATAAATTAATATTCTCATAATAATTAATCTGAAAATACGTCCCTATCCTCACCATCCTGTTATGTCATGCCTCATGGAGTGACGTCACTGAGCAGATGTTTTAATTACATTCCGATTAACGCAATAATTGATTTACTAAAATAGCAGCAATTTGTTAATAATGTCTATTATTGTCTCTAAATGCTATTATTTTCTTAGTAAAATATTTTTATAATTCGATGTTACTCGCAAGTCGCCCATTAAAAAAATGAAGTGTGGAAGAAAATTTTAGGAGAGGGTATTTAATAATTTTGAATATCCACATACCCCAAGCTCTCCTCCGGGATGCTGCGGTATACGATTTATATATTAGTTAGGTTTAAAAAACATATAATATTAGTAAACATAATACATACAGATAAACAATAATCAATACACTTCTAAATTATATCCTATGTATTATGAGTTATTAACTGTTTTATAATGATTAAAATTTGGCATAAAGTTATAATTAATTATATATTCACAAAAACACTGCTAGACCTCATAATACATACCATTTTTTTTTCGGTGTTAAATGAAAAACAATATTTTTAAAGAAAATAGACGGGGTTAGTATTATATTCTTTTTTCTTTTTCTTTTATTGCCCTTGTAGGCAGACGAGCATACGGCCCACCTGATGGTGAGTGGTTACCGTCGCCCATGGACTTCAGCAATGCCAGGGACAGAGCCAAGCCGCTGCCTACAAAACATAGATGAATAACACTGACGAATAATACTTGTCCGTGTTCACGAATACTGTAAGTATTATACTGTATATGATGAAAATAATAAACGCGAGATTACGCCGTTAACAGTACCTAGTTTGAATTATGTTAATGAATACCGAAAACCGGAGAAAATACTAGCATTAAGTTCATAAACGATGTGAGAATCGCGATATAAATAGCGGCTGGTCCAATAAATAAGTTCAACATTTAAATCGATTTTAATTGGAGTGAATGTCGCACATGTGACGACGAATAATATCAATTGTAATGAGCATCATTATCATCACAACATTAACCGCAGAATGTTCGTTGCTGCAAGTCATAAACTTTACATCGAGTATATTGAATGACTAGGCATCAGTCTCAATAGTATTACTGTTAGTAGAAAATTCATAAACAAGAATTTTGTTTAATAATATGATGGACAACAATTATTACGGAGATCGCCATTTTATGTTGAAATTACGTCAATGCGTCACGCAGTACGGTAGTCGTGACGTGCCACGGCTTCTCGGCGGTGACGTCACTCCGGGCACAGAACTTCATTTGTTCACATGCAAGCGTGCGACCAGCGGTCACTGCGCATGCGCGGGGCGGGATTTGAAAATCGATTTTATTGAATATATTCATTCAGTTAATAACTTGGAAAATGACTGACCTAATAAGCAAGCTTTATCGGCTTACGTGTACATTGACGCTTCTAAGTGCGATTTTTGAAATTATAAAGTTAATCAACTCTCAATTATATCCTCGCTACAAGAGTTTTAATTGATATATATTTATAACTTTATTAAAAAACTGATCTCCGGATAATGCACAGCCTCGAAGAAGAGGTGGTCGATGCATCGATTTCCTTTGACCATATAAAGAAGGAATACGGGTACCTGTAGTTCGGGCGGTAGGAAGACCCTGGTGTTGACGAAGTCTTCTGGTTGCGGCGCGAAGTACATCGTAGGGATGCGCGCGTCCGACGGGAACTCGCGAAGCTCGAAGCTCGTCGACCTCGCCCATATCACGGACATGGCCAAATCGCAAACCGCCCATAATTTCTGCAATTACATCAACATGAGTTTTCGTGTAAGGAACGTGTCATCTACGCCATCTTTTTTTTTTCTCCATCCTAAGCTGATAGCCTTGAGAGGCTATATCAGCGTAACCTTAACTAGTAGGTGAGCTCACGGGGCTCAAACCTGACGACGTTGCTATCATGAACCTTAGCAAGAGGCGTGCTTAGCAGAATCTACCACCGGATCGGAAACGCGACCCACTAAGAAGATCCGGCGAGAAACTCAGTGGGCTGTGTATATGGGTTAATTTACTTGTCGAGCCCTTCGTCGCAAGCGACGGGTTCGACGAGGACGGTGACGGGTGCTTGAGGTACCTAAAAGCACCGTTAATGGATCGGGGGGATCCGTAATGACGTGTTTAGAGCGACGTCGACTGTTTACCATTCGGTCCCCAGGATCACATATGAAACACGGAGTATTGAACTAAGGAGTACCATCTCAGTGTCTTAAAAAGTTTCCGTTGAAAGCGAGCTAATTAAGGTGGCGCCACAGTAGCAAGTGGAAGGTTTTTAAAACAGCGCCGTAAGCTACCACACCCCGTCTATGGACCAGGCGGCACGTTCACACATATCGCCTTTTCGCATTAAAAGTGTACAATATCCAAAATAATTCGAAATTGAGTTAATATGCGTAAACATTTATAGAAGTCGTCGTCGCCTAAGAGATAAGACGTCAGGTGCATTCGTGTTGAGCGATGCACCAGTGTTCGAATCCCGCAGGCGGGTATCAATTTTTCTAATGAAATACGTACTCAACAAATGTTCAACGATTGACTTCCACGCTGAAGGAATCATGTAATAAAAGTGAAACCCGCAAAATTATAATTTGCGTAATTACTGGTGGTAAGACATCTTGTGAGTTCGCGCGGGTAGGTACCACCACCCTGCCTATTTCTGCCGTGAAGCAGTAATGCGTTGCGGCTTGAAGGGTGGGGCAGCCGTTGTAACTATACTGAGACCTTAGAACTTATATCTCAAGGTGGGTGGCGCATTTACGTTGTAGATGTCCATGGGCTCCAGTAACCACTTAACACCAGGTGGGCTGTAAGCTCGTCCACACATCTAAACAATAAAAAAAAACCTTTCGTATCACCAGTATTTTTCTCATAAATACTGTCAAAAGAGCGTAGTTTAGATTTAGTTTTTTTTATCTGTTTTTACTATTATTAACAAAATTAATAAATTCAAAATCATTTATTTCAACTTGGATGTCATCAAAAACACACTTGTTGAATGTCAAAATGTAAAAGAAAATGTTAACTCTACCACCGGTTCCAAAAAAAGCCACAGTCCTGAGAAGAACCGGCGAAACAAACTCAATGGGCTTTTTTTTTTTTGGATTTTCTCAAATATTACAATACATAATTTTATCTTACTTTAAAAGACAGATAATATCACTGGTGAAAAATAAAAAATAAATGTTGCAAATATGATTAATATTAGAAAAATTTTACATGTTTTAAACCTTTAAAACAATTTCCTGTAAAATTAGGAAGTTCTGAGATTACCTATATATTAATACGTGTAGCAAAAACTTTGTATCCCTTTTTACGAAAATTGTGCGGACGGAGAAGTATGAAATTTTCCACACTTATAGAGAATATAGAGAAGTGCACAATGGTAATAGGTTTTTAAAATAATGCATAAAAGATACATTAAATCAATAAAGAAAACATTACACACACTACATACCATGTATTTGACGCACACACGCATGCATACTATTTATTGTCAAACTTTTGTTCTTGACGTCTGTGGTCAAATTGAGAATAAATATTGTTTGTCTTTGTTAAGACGAAATGGCGAAATTTGTGATAATAGAAGTATAAAATACAATCATAATATTGTACAAGCTTACAATTCCAATTAATTATAGTCGAATTTCGACTACTGCGGGACCTCTAGTACACTTTTAATGCGAGAAGACGGTATGTTTAAGCAACAAAAATAAATAGAACTCACGTAATTTAATGCGTCGTCCATCTCATTCACCGCGTCTTTATGAACTTTCATACGTTCAATTAGACTTTTGTAGAATCCGTAGCAGTAGAAATCGTTACGGGTTATTAACGGCTCCAACGTGAACCAGAGACAGTTCTTGATTATCTGCAATAATAAATATTTATTATGAAAATATACGTTTGATATTACAGTGGCAGTAATTCGTATATGTTCGGAAATCGTTGTAGTAATCACAAAAGAGGATAAGAGTATGACTAATCAGCAATTTTATTAAAGTTATTTTATTAAAGTTATTTTTTTTGCATAATTCCTAATTACTTGGTAATATAAAACAGTGACGCAATTATGACCGATGTTAAGTCGCAAAGATGCTGAAGACCTGTGGCACGGTAGATTGATGAGAGTCAGGACGTGGATCAGAATGACGGGATATTGAAATGATGGCATATAATGCACTACAATAATGTACACGGTAGCGTGGTCTCTGTCAATTTTCATTCAGAGTTGTCCGATTGCGCTGAACTAATTTAAAGTCATGAAATAGATTTTTTTCTAATTGTCTTACAACATACAGGAAAATTTGGCGCGGATCGTTTTCCAACGAAATATAACCTTTGTTGGTGCCACAAATTTTTGCTGTTAGCCTTGAGGGGCTATTTCGGCGTAACCTTAACTAGTAGGTGAGCTCACGGGGCTCAAACCGGAGTGTTGCTAACACTGGCCCTAGCAAGAGCAGTGCTTCGCAGAATCTACCGCCGGAACGGAAACGCGACCCACTGAGAAGATCCGGCGAGAAACTCAGTGGGCTGTGTTTGTAGGGTTAATTTAGTCGCCGAACCCTTCGTTGCAAGCGATGGGTTCGACGGGTACGATGACCGTGTGTGTGCGCGTGTCTGTGTGTGTAATGACAGTGAGTATCAAAGGACTGAAGATGAGATCCTCTAGGAGTTCGCTTGACCTTGAGCTGCGCGACGTTGTCGTAGGCGGTGAAGGCGGGGTCGTGCGTGAGGACGGGCACCGCGAACACCAGCATGTAGTCGGGCAGGATGTGCGGCAGCTGCGACACCGCGCGCTCCACTGACAAACAACGAATATATACTTTAACACCGTCTTAGCTTACAGATCATTAATGATGAGAATCTTTGTGGGGATGAGAAATAATAAAACGAGCAATTCTTGTATATTAATATAAATATAATCTGAATCTTGGAAACGGCTGCAACGATTTTCATAAAATTTAGTATACAGGGGATTTCGGGGGCAATAAATCGATCTAGCTACGATTTATTTTCAGAAATTTTCAATAATCAACTCTTCCCGACATCTATTGGCGAATAATAATACTATTTTTCTTAATTGAGGGCAACTAACCGCTCATAATTTAGTGTTAATTTTAAATGTCCAGCGTAGCGAACGGGTGCAGCTAGTATATTCATATTATCATAGCGATGCAGTTGAGTCAGTACCTTTGGTGCCGACTGTGATGTTCCTAACGTACTCCCGTCTCCTCACCACGTCGGCCATCATGAACTGCCGGATGACGCTCCGTATGCGCTTGTCGGGCTCTCTGCCGGCCAACGCGTACATGCCCATGAAGTCTAACGGCAGACATTTGTTCGGTATGCCCTACAAACAAAACTTGTTAGATTTCATCTCTGCACCTCCCTAAGGTAGACTGTCAGAGAATGCCTATGGAATTAAGTCCGCCTTTATACTATCTAGTATATAAAGTTATGAATAAATAAATAAAAATTACTCCAGGCCACATTGCAATAAGTAAGCAGCATTGTCTACGCTCTATAGACTCACGCGTGCGGTGACGAGAGCGAGATTTGGGACCAGCTAGGCTGTTTTAGAAGTTCAATGGGCATATAGGTCCCTCACACAGTACCAGCACGCGGACCGCAGTCTGCATGAGCACGGTCCACGGAGCCGGGCCTTGCACCATGTCGCGTGACTATACACGTATTTGAGTATTAAGCGGTAGGCAGCGGCTTGGCTCTGCCTCTGGCATTGTTGAAGTCCATGGGCGACGGTAGCCACTTACCATCAGGTGGGCCGTATGCTCCTCTGCCTACAAGGGCAATAAAAAAACACACACACATTAATATATTTACCTTAGATAATCCTTTGTGTAGTTTAGCAGCGAAAGCTTCCCTCACTTGTGGTACTTCATCCTGTGCAAATGATTTATGATTAATGGATTGAACATCTCCAGTAGCAAGATAAACAACTTATAAAGGCCCCCCCCACTAGGCCTTTCATTGCGAGTTCGCCTTAGGCCCTTTATAGGAGCAGTGGCTACTTCAACCTAGCCATCCTACAAGCTATGTCAGTTACTTAAGATCTCAAGCGAATCTCCTCATTTCTGATACGAACTGGGTTTTTTTAAAACCGATTACATATTTTTACAATTTTAATTTAATTTCTGCCGTGAAGCAGTAATGCGTTTCGGTTTGAAGGGTGGGGCAGCCGTTGTTACTATACTTGAGACCTTAGAACTTATATCTCAAGGTGGGTGGCGCATTTACATCGTAGATGTTTATGGGTTCCAGTAACCATTTAACACCAGGTGGGCTGTGAGCTCGTCCACCCATCTAAGTAGTAATAAAAAAAATAAAAAATAAAATGTAGACACATAATACACTGAACGAACGGCTAATTTAAGAAAACATTTGAAACAGAGGGATACTCACGACCATAAGGTGAGACAGGTTGTAGAACTGCTCTGCGGTGAACTGGTCGCCGACGCCCTTCTGTTCGCATATCTTGAGCATGGCGGCGCCGGCGGCCAGCCTCAGGTGCGCCATCTCCGCTTTCGACAACCGATTTTGCTGAACAACAAACAAAACCAAATAAATATGTACCATGCCCATAAAAGTATAATTTTATACAATAAAATATTTATATATTTGTCCAATATTATTTTGGAGCTCGTTATTAGATTTCTTTGTAGTTAATTTATTAATGGATTAATAAAAAACTAGGTTGTATTGATATACCACAATTAATTAGTTTATTTTTTAGATTTATTATGTTTCTCCCAGATGCTTTCGCAGCGTGGTTCGTGAACTTAATTAGTGAGGAGAAAAGAGTTGTATATCTTATATACCTTCAGCAATTCTTGTATATATATATATAATCTGAATCACGAAAAATGGCTCCAACGATTTTTATAAAATTTAGTATACAGGGGATTTCGGGGGCGATAAATCGATCTAGCTACGATTTATTTTCAGAAAATGTTGTTTCATTCGTGTTTTCAATAATCAATTTTATCGATAATCAACTTTATGACTCTTCCCGACATCTATTGGCGAATAATAATACTATTTTTCATAATTGAGAGCAATTAACTGCTTTAAAGACACAATAACACTAAAATTATTAACCTAACGCCTAAAACACCTAACGCCACTTAAAAATTCCTAAACGATCTTGGAATATTTCATCATTTTATCAATATGCAATTCGTATTTAAATATAATTTCTAAAAACACGATTAATAAAAAAAAACTGAGCAAAGCTCGGTCATCGTCTAGTTAAGTTTTATTCCTGCTTGCCCATGGCGATGTCCGGTGGCTCGCTCGCGCAAATACTGTAATTAAACCCTTAATCTAACCTGCAGCAGATCTCCCTTGTGCACGATGAAGGCGTTGAGCATCCGGAACGTCTTCTGCGCGGAGAGCTCGTCCTTCTTGAGGCCGAGCAGCCAGCGCGCCATGCACTTGAGCCCCTCCAGCTTGCAGCGCGTCTCCTCGGGCAGCTCGGGCTCCGGGCACCAGCTCTCCCCCGCCCCGCCCGTCGCGCCGCCCCCCTCGCGCACCAGCAGCTCCTTTACGATCTAGAACAAGAAAACATTGCGTTAATACACTAGGCCGGCTGTTACAATTTATTATATTTCAATAAGACAGTAAATTTTCCATTGAAAACTACAAGTCCTAAGACAGGATCAGCATATGATGCCGTGCGATGGCTATCGAAAACAAGAGATCAGACAGAGTATCAATAGTACGTTGATGCGTTATTCTCGCTTCAGACCGAAAACACACGAATGCTTGAAGACAGAAATAAGCAAGATGTCGGTACCTACCCGTGCGGCTTGCAACACATCCCACCAACAGTAAAATTATAAAAAGAACTAGCGACCCGCCCTCGCTTCGCTTCGGAAACATTAAAACAAACATGAAACCAAAAAATAAAATAAAAAATAAAATAAAAAAAGTAGCCTATGTTCATCAGGGACAATGTCGGCTTCTAATGGAAAAAGAATTTTTCAAATCGATCCAGTAGTTTCGGAGCCTATTCGAAACAAACAAACAAACAAATCTTTCCTCTTTATAATATTAGTATAGATAATCAAGAAGAATTTCGTTGATAAAAGTTGATTTAAAACAAATAATCTACCTTCCTAGACACAATGTTCTTGATGTGAACGGGGAAGTTGTCGGGCAGGTTGTGCGCGATGTGTCCCAGAGTGACGATGGCGGTCCGGTAGTGTTCTGAATACGGATTCAATGTGGCTTTCAACGTTTCTAATATCTCCGTGAATATTTGGGTCCTTTGTTCTGGCACGTTTACAAATAAACACCTGTATGACAAAAATTATATTAATGACTTTTTTAATACGATTTTATTAGCTTCGTATGTATGTTCGTATGTAACGGAATTTTTGAACATGATTTTGACCCCCTTCAATCGTCGGATTAACTCGAAATTTCGCATACTTATCAAGAACCGATGACAATTCATTATTTAAAAAAAAATATTGGAAAAATTGAAATTCAAGTAAAAATTGAATAATAAATTTGAATTAAAAATAGTGTAAGAAAAAATTATTTTATTATAAAAAAGTGTGGGATGCTTTTCAGGATATTATCAAAATGACCCTTCTACTCATATCTGTTTATAAAATATTTATAATTAATGATACCATACACCCCACGCTTTTTTTTACAATAAAATCATTTTTTCTTACACTATTTTTAATTCAAATTTATTTTCTATTTTTTATTTGGATTTTCTATAAAAGCGTACTTTTTTAGTTTATTTAAACTAATATTTATTACTATACAATTCTTGAGAAGATTGTTGATTATTCTCATTTATTATGGCAACACTTTTTACCAAAAATGTCATCAGGTCTTTTTAGTGGAGACACGAGAATAAACAATCTTTTTTTTGTGTATATTTAATTACTGTTTTTTTTATTATTATTTAAATGTGTAATAATGTCGCGATGATTGATCGTTTAGCATCTGTCACAGTATACAAATGTTAAAAAAATATTATTAGACCAGACTTCTTTTTCTCTCGGCCTCTTTCAAAAAGTGTATTGAATTTTATCTTAAAATGACATCTTAGAAATTTAGATAAAGAACATATCATAAATATCAGTTACCTGACAGCATTCTTGGCTTGTTTTGGTGAGCCCACCTCGGCGTAGGCTTTGCACAGGGTGATCAGTCGCGGGAACAGGGCGGGGCACGCTTCGCCTGTTCAAACGAGCACTAATTATTTAGCTGCAATCTCAAGTGTCAGTGGACAGCTGCATATAGGCAGTAAGCTGTGCGTTTTCACGTAACTGATGATAAATATGCAGCAGTTGAATAATTGTGATGAAAGACACCGCCTCAACCAACGTAAGAATATATTGCGGTGACTGGATCTTGTCGGGTTAAGCTGGTAATGGAGCCTAAAGACAGCACAATGTATCTATCACCCTCCTTGCGAGACATGAGCTCATTCACGATTGTACAGTACAACGGCTGTCCCACCCGTGTGTACAGAGCATAACGCTTTGCGAAGGAATACGACTGGTGGCACCTAACCGTCCGGACCTAGAACACGCTGCTAGCGTCCAGCGACTCCTTCTGACGGGTCTCCGCGGTACAGCTTAAAATCTGGAGCAGGGTGGGACAGCCGTTGTAACCATACTTCAGACTTTAGAACTTATATCTCAAGGAGGGTGGCGCATTTACGTTGTGCATGTCTATGGGTTCCAGTAACCACTTAACACAAGGTGGGCTGTATGCTTGTCTGCCTACAAGGGCAATAAAAAAAAGTCAAGTGAGTGCTACACTAACTAAGCGGCCTGTATTTCCCGAGGAAGGTGAGCGCGGCGAGGATGTGCGGCGCCACGGCCTCGTCGTCCAGCTCCAGCATGCACGTGAGGCGGGTCAGCACGTCCTCGTGCAGGAAGTGCGCCGGGAACACGAACGACAGCATCACCAGCAGCTTCAGCCCGCGCTCCGCCGCCTTCTTCGTGTCGATACCTGTTACCGAGATAAAAACAATTTTATTATTCAATCTTACCACTCCCATCAGGTGGGCTGCATAAGACAATAAAAACTTTTATAACGATTCCAGACAAAAAAACAAGAACTCTTTTTGAATTGTTCAAAAAATACATCAATAATATTTCTCTAAAACTAAAGTTTAAATAAAATATGAATAACATTTTTAAATATTTATTTTATACAAAATTTAAGTATATTTACAAAATTATTAACCAGTTGGCAATTTTCAATTAGAGCAATAAAATAAAATTGTTTATAATTAGACAATTAGAAGATTAAGTTTGTAATCAACAGCTCCTAAATCACATCATCAATATTCAGGCATAGTTCTGAAAGATTTTTTTGTGTGATGGTATCATCGGATGATAAGGACGTTAAGGCTACTAAAACTCTAGGGCTGGTATGATTATCAGACACACCACATTTAATGGAGAAGAAAATAGGAGCGTATCACAACAGCTGATTACAGATTAATTGCTGGACACACAACTGTTATATCCATGAGGAAGTTTTTTTTTTCTTCTACCTAAGCTGATGGCCTTGAGAGGCTTTTTCAGTGTGGCGAGGAAGAAGAATTACAAAATTATTTATAACTGTAATTATTTTTTATTTGTCGTTATTTTCCGTGGAAATTCCTTGCAGACTTGGATAACAATTATGCTATCTATACTCATCTACAAATTAATAGTGAAATAATTTCCGTTTTTATTTACAAGATCTTTGGTTTTATTCCAGTTATTGTGTCACCTTGTATACAAACAAAACCATTCAACTGTGTTAATTGTGTTGTCTTAATGCAAGATTCCTGACACACCCACAAGATGCCATTCGATTTTAGCGCTCAAATTACATAACAAATACAAGCTGACAGATTTTTATAATCACACTTGTATTTTTCCTATTTCGAACTGCTCAGTTATTAAATAATAGTCTCCGTTGCCCACTGAGTTTCTCACCGGATCATCTCAGTGGGTCGATTCAGATCCGGTGGTAGATTCTACGAAGGACTGCTCTTGCTAGGGTTAGTAATTTTTTATTTTTTATTGCTTTGATTGGTGGACGAGCTCACAGCCCACCCGGTGATAAGTGGTTACTGGAGCCCATAGACATCTACAACGTAAATGCGCCACTCACCTTGAGATATAAGTTCTAAGGTCTCAGTATAGTTACAGCGGCTGCCCCACCCTTCAAACCGAGTATTAGCAAATTCTCATATATAGCTCACCTACCGGTCCGGGGAGGGGAGGGGTTGGGAGGATGGGTCCTTAACAAAGTAAACTGACCGCATTCCTCGGCTATGGTCGTGTTCATGCCGGTGACGGAGCCCTCGACGTATTCGACCAGTATCAGCAGAGACTCGTGGTCGATCATCACCGAGCTGACCCGCTCCAAGAGCATCTTGACAGTGTTGTAGTACAAGTTCGTCATCACCGGCTGACCGAGCTTCTTTAGGACGTTTGACTGGGAAATAAAATAAAAAAATAAAAAATTAAATGCCATGTAAACGTCATATAAAAATGAATTGCTGTTCGTTAGTCTCGCTAAAACTCGAGAACGGCTGGACCGATTTGGTTAATTTTGGTCTTGAATTATTTGTGGAAGTCTAGAGAAGGTTAATAGGTAGATAAATATGAAAATGCTCGAAATTAAATAAAAATAACAATTTTCTTTTTCCTTTGATGTGTCCTCCGTCGGACGGATTTCTTTTGTTTGTTTTAAGTTTATTTTATACAAAAGTTTAGGTCTTTTATTTATCTATTGAGGCACTACGAAGTCTGTCGGGTCAGCTAGTTAAGAATAATAATTAAATATCAGGTAAGCTGTCCATGCTACCTATGACCGAACACCATGGAGGAAAGTAACATGCGGTCATGTTCCTCAGCAGTGAGGGAACTACAGAGCAGGGAGAGAAACGTCTTATGCTGTGCGATTACTCCACAATATAAACCCCCCGAGTGGAACAATCAATTAGAGTGTTATTCAACCTTTCACGCGCGAGCCGTCGATAGATCGATTGTCTATTAATTGTATTAAGTGCGGAGCGTCGGAATATCGACTATTGCGCAGTTTGATTATAGGTATAGTAACCGGCAAACTTCTTGAGCAAATGACCTTGACTGCGCAGAACCGAATTTTAGATCACTTTGGTGGTGAGGGTGAGGCGCGACGGCAGGGGAAATCCTATCGAGCGCGTTATTGGTAGATCAGTCGAACCTTCCGCCCCGCACCGCGCCCTCATTCCGCTTGCTCCCAAAAGTACGCTTGCGTACAGTGGAAAGTCTATCGTTATTAATCGTTAAGTTATTTGTTATAATTACTTGTAGACTTTGTTGCCATTGCTATTTGTTGAGTGTTTGTTGATTTTTTATAAAACATACACTATGCCGCGACAAACCGGTGTAGTATTCAAAAGAAAGGGTAGAAAAATTGTGTACGACGTATATTGCTTCATTATAAAACAGGGGAAGAATGATATGGAAAAATTAAAACAGACTTGGGAAGTAACAAAACCATCAGTGAGTACTGTTAGGTGCATTATTAACGAAGCTAAAGGCTCTGGCTTGCTCGCCGTGTTTCGGACTCCGGGTAAGAAAAGATCAGGGAAGAAGAAAGTTACCGGAATGGATAGTTTCGTTCAATCTGTAATAAAAAGATGTAATCATAATAACTACATAACAAGCAGCGAAACTCCGTACCGTAGAAAGGCTTCGAAAATTTTAAAGAAGATATAAATTTTAATGGCTCGGAATGAAGCTTACGACGTATTATGAAAGAGCTAGGCTTTAGATGGAAAAAAAGAACAGAAAATAATCGGAAGCTGGTAATTGAAAAAAGTAACATTCGTTTACTACGAATCGAATATCTTCAAAAAATAATTAATTATAGACAAAAAAGAAGACCGAATCGACCGAGTTGTAAACTACACCGATGAGCCCTATGTCGACTAATCACGATGATAGCGACTCTGGTGATGAAAACAGTGATGATGATGATGGTCAAGATTAAGATAACGAAAAAATAATTACAAATACCAGCTTCGCTTCAACTGAACCAAGACCTGGCAACAGCTCTAGTTTTGACTTAATAGAAGGAATATCTATTTTACCCCAAGATTACATTATTACAATTATTAAACCTATATGTTTTGTTGATGTTCTAATAAATATATAAATAAATACATATGTTGATTTTAATAATTTAATAGCATTATGACGCAGAGTAAGTAATGTTTTTGCACGTGAGTGTACCATGCGCGAACTTACCCCCACTACGTCAACAAATGCTCAAGAAGTTTGCCGGCTATTATATTATTAGGCACGATAACGTTTTTAATAAGCTAATAACATTTATAAATAGCCGTTTCAAAATATTTTGCTATGAATTTAACATTGACTTTTGTTGTTTTTTTTAAGTAAAAATATTTGTACAGTACTTTTTTTTTTCAAGAATTCTTTAGCAAATTTCTGCAAAATATATAAAAATAAGCTTAGCACTAAAAGGGTTAAGAAAAACGCCCGGCACGGGTCATAATGACAGGTACGCGTTATTGCTTGACAACACAAATAGGCGGGACGATAAATTTGCGAAAACAGTTCACGTTTAGTACTATGACCTCGTTCCTTGAAATCGTTCATAGTTCATTTCGTTCCGTCAATCAGTACCGACGCGGCCACGGTGTGGAATAAGAATTAGTAAGTAGATTAGTTCAGAGCTTCTCCGCTGAGAGCAGAATCGAATTATTTCATTAAAATTACGATTTCCCTCCAGATTTTCTTCTGGCTTACGCCTGGGAGTAATGGTATTTAAGATATACTTAATACTTTCTATTATTTGATTTTTTCTATAACCTTTACTTACACATAAGAGTATTTTTTAAATGTAATAAAGTAGTTGCATTCAAAACTAATATTTAAAGGTAATTTCTCTAAAATGTCCATACGCCTAGTAAAAACGTAAGGAAAAATGATAAATGAAATTATGCAAGAGGTCCCTAATTTGTGCAATGACAAACTGAATTGATTACAAGGGAGTAATGGATGTAATTTGTTTTGAGCTAGAGCGGTTGGTCTCCGACAAAACTTCCCTTACTCAAGGGGAGAAGATAAGTGAACTGGTGAACGAAAGCGATCCGGAAGTGAACGAGTTCATTTTGTACATCTATAAGGAGCAGTTCACCGGAAAGAATTATTGAATTATGAACTTAAAATGGTAATCATGTTCGATTCATTGTGTTAAACAGGGAATTTACCTTAAGGAACCTTAAGACTTTGAAGATAGAAACGAATATAATTAATACTCACAGTAGTGCGAACGCACACTTCACAGCTAACATTCGGATTTAGTATCGTCTCCATTCCTTGCAACAGCTCCGGCGACTGCTTCATGTGCTGCGAGAACTTGTTCAGGAACTCCTGCGCCTTCACCGACTCGGGAAGGAATTTGGTACTTATGTGCAAGACTTTAGCGATCAATTCCTTTTGAACGGACGGCGACGGCGGCTTCCTGTGCAACTCGATCCATTCCGCGACCGTGCGCCGGACTGCGAGTTGGTGCTTCTGTAACTCAATGAACGCTTTCGTGGCGTTGTCGTCTACATTAGACATCAAGTAGTACAGCTTCTTCATCCGTACCGCAGACTGTAACGTGTACGGAACCAGCGAAGTGTTCAGAAGCCTCTCGACTAGAAGTCGGTCTTCTAACGCCGTCATGTAATAACCGTGTAGAATTTTGTCTTTGATCCACTGGACCGCTTTCTCGGTAGCGGCCGGCACGCTTTCTTCGGTCAAGAACTTCTTGTAGATCATGGCCAGGCCGGACATGGCTTCTTTCCTGATTTTAAACTTCTTATCTAACGTTCTTTCTTTTACGAAATGAAGGAGGTCCTCAGACTCGGCGACCGCTTGGAAGTCTCTTTGGGCCGTCGCGATGATCGCCATGACGACCTCATACCGGACCTGTTCGTTGGCGTCGTGCTGCCTCAGTTTCAGGGTCTCGGTTATGTCCTTCCTCAGGTCCGGGTGGTGGACGAGGAAGTGCATGCAGTACTGAACGCATTTGATGCGTATCGGTACGGAGATATCGTTGAACCTGCCGAGGAAGGCCCGCCACAGAGCCGGGTACTGTTTGGCCAGCTGCGAGCCCGGTTCAGAGAACATTCTAGCTAATAAAGCGACGCCACTGAGCCTCTCTTGGAAATGAGCAGACTTCAGCTTGCATTCGAGCTGCGGCAACACGGATAGTAACACAGACGGACAACACTGGTACAGCTCGTATATTAGCTCGTAGACTTTCGAAAATATCAAAAGGCTCTTCTCTTCTTTGCCAAGTATTAGAACGTGATTGAAAAACTGTAAAATAAACACAACTTATACAATACAAATAGAATTATTCTCGTTCCAGAAAAAATCTACGGCTTCTTGGTAATAATCAACACATTCAGACTATCTCCGAGCAAATTGTATTGAATTGTATCTATTGTAGTTAATGTATTTTCAGTGATACAATTATTTCTGAGAAAACAACGTATATTAAAATCGATCGTGAAAATTGAACAGAATCTATCAGGTAGAGACGAAACAGTTATATACCATTTATATGTTATTGACTAGTTTTAATGTTACGAATAGAAATCGAGACTTATCTTTCATCACAATGTCGATGAGACAAAAAAAGATTAACTCATTTACTTGTGGTAGGACCTCTTGTGAGTCCGCACGGGTAGGTATCACCGCCCTGCCTATTTCTGCCGTGAAGCAGTAATGCGTTTCGGTTTGAAGGGTGGAGCAGCCGTTGTAACTATACTGAGACCTTAGAACTTATATCTCAAGATGGGTGGCGCATTTACGTTGTACATGTCTATGTGCTTCAGTAACCACTTAACACCATGTGGGCTGTGAGCTTGTCCACCCATCTAAGCAATAAAAAAAACACAATGTATTTATATGTCAAGGTATCAGTCAGTACCTATGGTTGTAATGTACTCACCGCTTGGATATAAGGCTCTAGAGTCTCACTGGTCTTCACGATGAGTTCCTTGGCTAGTGCGAAGGCGTGCTTGTGTTCCCGCTTGTTCGGTTCGACTAGATTGATCAATATCACGTTCAGCAACTCATTGGACACGACGTCCGACTCCGTGATCAACGGGCACAGGACGTCTAACATGAACGCTTTCACTTTGGTCGAATGCTCTATGCTGTTGGCGAAATAAATGCGCGGTTTACAATAAATTAAATTCAAAATAAAATAAAATAAATAAACAATTTATTTAGTGGCAACCCTGGTGTTTCACTAGGCGCTATTGTACCCGAGCAGTATCCTGTGTGATTCTCACACAATTGGCCGCGATTGCAAACTCTAACTTATGCTAAACAAAATTAATTTAGCAGATGTATATGATACATCGCACCTCACATGTAAAGACCTTTGATTTTGGCTAAAATTCTGCGCCTATCTACACTTATAGAAATAAGGATGATCCTAGCGCTTGTCAAACTAGAAGTTGCTTTATATTAGTAGTTTTTTTTTATATGGTTTAAGGATTACTGGTGGCCCTGAGGCCTTTCCAGTCTCACCAGGACTATATTATCTATACTAATATTATAAAGAGGAAAGATTTGTTTGTTTGTTTGTATTGAATAGGCTCCGAAACTACTAAACCGATTTGAAAAATTCTTTTACTGTTTGGAAGCTACACTATTCCCGAGTGACATAGGCTATTTATTACCTTTTTTGAAAAAATTAGGGATCCTTACTAAAACTCCAATAATGTAACCGAAGGTGTAAAAAAATTACCTAAAATATTTTTTACATCGCGTGCCCTGCGAAAATTATTGATGATAGAATAAAATAATGTACTACTACTTTATAGAACACATTATTATTTACAAAAAGTGTCGCGACAGCATATGTCCAACTATTATAGTTATGCTATATATTATGCTATCGCTATTATATTCATTTATTTAAAAAAATAAAAGAACGCCAAATATCGTTGAAATTTTTGTTAAAGACCCGAGCGGAGCTGGAGCGGGCCGCTAGTTAGAGATTATTTTTATATCCTTCAATAAAGATTATAATAAACATTCAATAACAAATAAAACAAAAAAATCGCGGCCCTACTATATTGATGTGATAAATACGTGATACACTCTTCTTATATTCAAGACTATTTTTACGACTCAGTATGGAGTTTGTGAAGATAACTTCTTAAGTAAATACTCTTGTGGGATACAAAGCAAGCAAGTTAATCCGTGTTGCTAACTAAGAGAAACATACTCAAACTACTTTTACTAACTTAAGCCTAGAACTATGATCATTATTAAAGCAAAGTTTGGCACTTAGGGCCTTTGGTTTGTAACTCAAACTCTCATATAAATTAGCGTACCTTTTTTCTTCTTTTTTTTTAACGCTGGGGAATCCATTTACGGATACGGTCGAGAGGGGTAATAGACCGGGTTATGTCGGACTCCGGCGCCTCCAGAGAAGAAGAGGGAGAAGAGGAAGACCAAAGTCCTCCTCTTCTTCCAATTCCTACCGGGAGACTACGCCTTGAGAAAGCGTACCTAAGCTGTACATATTATAATTTTTTCACAACTTATGAATATAATTACATATCAATTTGTTTCGTGTAAAATGTTACATATTTATTATATTTATTATTACAATAATCCCGAGAAATCTATCCAGACTCTGGCATAATTTATCGAAGAATTAACTTAAAGGTAGGTACACTGTACATAACAAACTTACTATTTTGGTGTGCAATAAAGTATATTCTTTCTCTCTCTGTCTCTCTTTAAAATATCTTATCTTTGATCTTTTGTTTGTTGAATATAAAGAAAAAGAACAATATGGCGGCGTTATTAAATGTAGTTCAACATTCGAAAGATGCCTCTTTACCCACTGAATTTCTCGTCGGATCTTCTCAACGGATCGCAATTCCTATCCGCTCGTAGATTCTGCGTAACACTACTCTTGCTAGGGCTAGTGTGTATTAAGTTTGTTCTTGTACAGCACAAAAGTACATCAAAATAAATATATTACTGTAATAAATAAATAAATAAAAATTTTACTAACAATATTTTACTAACAGCCTGTTAACTGTTTTTCAATGTTATGACATGTTATGACATGCGCTATGACATGTCCTTCTTCAAACGAGGCTTGTGGAGAGTATTAAGCGGTAGGCAGCGGCTTGGCTCTGCCCTTGGCATTGCTGAAGTCCATGGGCGACGGTAACCACTCACCATCAGGTGGGCCGTATGCTCGTCTGCCTACAAAAGCAATAAAAAAAAAATTGCAATCACGCCACGTTAACTGGTCCCGTGATAAGTTCGTAAAGAACTTGTGTTACAGGTACCAGATATCGGAAATAAATGTAAGATTTTTATTATACACATACATATATTTAATATACATCCATAACCCTGGAAAAGACATTTATATTTATCATACAAATATCTTCCCTTGGCGGGATTCGAACCCGCGACCCCCTAGTGTAGTGACCATGTCACTTACCAATACACCAGACGGACGTAATAAATTTAAGAAGCATTTTTTTATTACCCTACCTATTCGATGACAGCCTGAGGGGCTATACCAGCTACGCGCGGATAGAGTCCAGCTCACTCAGGGCTCGACCTGAGAGAATTTGCTAACACTAGCCCTAGCAAGAGTAGTGCTACGCAGAATCTACGAACGCATCGGAATTGCGACCCGTTGACAATATCCGGCGAGAAATTCATTGGCTAAAGAGGCATCTTTCGAATGTTGAACTACATTTAGTAACGCCATATCGTCGCTGTCAAACCAAAATCTGCTAAGTGCAAAAAGTCTATTTTGAATTAACGAGTAAAAACATTTTTCGTATAAAATTTTATATGGTGAATTTTTAAGAACTATATCAAATGTAAGCTATAGATAAATATTAAAGCTATATACACATAACAGTTTTTTTATACGGTAGATAGGGCTGTGAACTATACGAAAAGGTGAAAAAGTAAACATCTCAAAAAGTGCACACGATTTAAAAAAATACACTCAATTTTGTAACATTTATAATAATTCATTTCACATTGAGAATTGAAAGGGAATACTGTTGAGAATGATTGTTATGCCTAAATTCTCAACGTGATTGGCAAAGCAGTTACCAACAATAGCAATGTAATTTACAAAACAAATTCATTACGTTTTGCTACCAATAATACAATACAATAAAATTGTAAAGTTTAGAACAATCATGCATTCATAAATAATAAATAACATGATTTGAAAAGTGTCATTTGAATTTACAAAATTCTCACTCAGACAGTGCAAATTTATTCTGAAATCTCTAAAAAAATATGTTCCCTTCCATGTATTTTCTTTATATTCTCCATTTTCTTTATATTCTCCATTTTCTTTATACACTCCATTTTCTTTATATTACTGATGATGTCATCACATCGAAAAGCGATGACATTTTCAATAAATTATTAAGAAATTACCACAGTTAATTTAAAAAAAATATATAATTTAACCTCTTTAAATTATTTATATTTTCTGAAAAATAAATATCACGCTACCTAAGCTGATAGCCTTAGGGGCTATTTCAGCGTAACCTTAACTAGCAGGTGAGCTCACGGGGCTCAAACCTGATGACGTTGCTAACACGAACCCTAGCAAGAGCCGTGCTTCGCAGAATCTACCACCGGATCGGAAACGCGACCCACTGAGAAGATCCGGCGAGAAACTCAGTGGGCTGTGTCTGAGAGTTAATTTACTCGTCGAGCCCTTCGTCGCAAGCGACGGGTTCGACGAGAAAGGTGACCGGTGCTTGAAGTACCTAAAAGCACCGTTAGTGGATCGGGAGGATCCGAGATGACGTGTGGAGCTTTTTGTAATCAATGCTCATTGTATTAATTCTATCCACTCACTAAAAGTTTGGTTTTAAGTAAAAACTATAATATAAGCTACCTGCTAAAATGCGTTAAACATAAACACTACAGTGTGCTTAGTGTGAGTTTTTGAACTTCTCGATCGCGTAAAAGTAAACATAAATTTGTATAGAGTTGAAACAGCTTCCCTTCGTGTATCACTAGGGGCGTTCGTTCAACTCGATACAAATTTGAGTTAATTTTAACGCGATCGAGAAGTTAAAAACTCGCACTAAACACTAGTGTAAACCAATGCTTTTTAATACGCTTTTATTAGATGCAGACGTATGTATGTTAGTATGTATGTTTGTAACGGAATCTTTGAACATGATTTTGACCCCCTTCAAAACGTCGGATTAACTCGAAGTTTGGTATACTTATTAAGGACCGATGACAATACAATATTAAAAATTTGAAAAATAAAATGAAAAAAATTTAAAATCAACTAAAAAATGAAAAAGAAATAATAGTTTTAAAAAACTAGCAAAATACGCTTTTATAGAAAATCCAACTAAAGAATAGAAAATGAATTTTAATAAATTTGAATTAAAAATAGTGTAAGAAAAAATGATTTTATTAAAAAAAGCGTGGGGCGCTTCAATTATAGCAGTAGTTATAAATATTTTATGAACAGATGACTTGTTTTGATTGTTGTAGGATTATTTTGATAATATCCTGAAAAGCACCCCACATGCTTTTTTTTCAATAAAATCATTTTTTCTTACACTATTTTTAATTCAAATTTATTAAATTTTATTTTCTATTTTTTAGTTGGATTTTATATAAAAGCGTATTTTGTTAGATTTTTTAAACTATCTTATACCTTTAAACGAGCAATTCTTGTATACACATAATCTGAATCTCGGAAACGGCTCCAACGATTTTCATAAAATTTAGTATACTGGGGATTTCGTGGACGATAAATCGATCTAGCTACGATTTATATTCAGAAAATGTTTTCTTATTCGTGTTTTCAATAATCAACTCTTCCCGACATCTATTGGCGAATATTAATACTATTTTTCTTAATTGAGGGCAGGCAACTAACCGCTTTAAAGACACAACAAGATGGATGGATGGACGTTATAAAAAAAACCGAGGAAAGTCATCATCTACTATTTATTAAATTAGTATACTCACTTAACGATCTTGAACATCAATGAGAAGAGAGCGCAGAATATCTCCTGACAGTCTTCGAGTTCGAAGCACATATTAAATGACTTGACGTAGGCAAGATTTTCCAACAAGTAAAAGTAGCGTTTGAAGGCCGGATTCTTTGGATCACGCAGGCCTTGCAGTTGGTTTATGAGGAACAAGAATATAGTTTTGACCTGTTGATGAATGAAAGAGAACAAACAGATGATTGCAGGAACATCCCATAATCGATCTACGAAAAGGTTTATACTCTTTTGCATCATTGATTCCGTAGAGAATGGTCCGGGTATCATCTTTTTTTTTTATTGCTTGCATGGGTGGATGAGCTCACAACCCACCTGGTGTTAAATGGTTACTGGAGCCCATAGACATCCACAACGTAAATGCCGCCACCCACCTTGAGATGTGAGTTCTAAAGTCTCAGTATAGTTACAACGGCTGCCCCACCCTTCAAACCGAGACGCATTAATGCTTCACTTCTTCTAAGACAATCCCATATCATCTTATTTTTAACATAGCACTAACCCTCATCGCAACAAAATTCATCCTGCCATGCTCGAATCACTTCATCCAAATCATCAGTCATATATTTTCGCATCATATTATCAGGCATCTCATGGATTTTAGTTCTTAAGGTAAGGTATTAAGAGCTCTTTATTGTGTGCGGCAACACGTCTGTGTTCATGGCATAGCCGATATCGATGACAATTTGCAGTTGGGAGTTAGGTGTCAAAAGTCGACTCACCTGTTCCTGGTCTTTGTATGGCGCTTCCGGCGCGTACACCCGTAGGACGTCAGCTATGCAGCAAGCTATCAACAGCTGGACGTCCTTAGAAGAATGAGTGAGAAAAAACTCATCAGCCAGATGCAGGGCGAGCGGTATGTACTGTTGGTACATACCCTCATCTTGCCCGAGACCTTGTAACGTATGGGCTAATACCTGAAACAAAACATCAATGTTTTTTTTTTTTTTTTATTGCTTACATAGGTGGACGATCTCACAGCCCACCTGGTGTTAAGTGGTTACTGGAGCCCATAAACATCTACAACGTAAATGCCGCCACCCACCTGGAGATATAAGTTCTAAGGTACAGTTACAACGGCTGCCCTATCCTTCAAGTCGAAACGCATTACTGCATTACGGCAGAAATAGGCAGAGCGGTGGTACCTACCCGTGCAGACTCACAAGAGGCGCTACCACCAGTAATTACGAAAATTATAATTTTGTGGGTTTGATTTTTATTACACGATGTTATTCCTTCACCGTGGGAGTCAGTTCATTTGTAATTTCCGAATATCTCGATGATCAGGATCTACGATTTACGCCTCCTAAACATATCGCTGCTTCTCACTATCGCTTCGAATTACTACATCATTAATTCTTATTCTATTTTGACAATCAAAGCCCTGCCTGTGTGCCTGGCTGCCTGGTGACAGTTTGATACAAAACTTGGCCAAAACAAAGTACCTACATAATTATGTTGTGCCTCACATTACTGGATAAAGGAGGTTCTACGGTCAACACTAGCAGACGAGGTCACAGTTCAGTTGGTGTCACAACTGAACATGAAGGCAATAATTACGACTTGAATACCTTGAGACAATAGAGACCGAACTCTGAATTGTAACGATTGCCCTACCCTTTCAAATCGGTACGCATATTTCGCGGCAGAAATATGCAGGGTAAACATGCCAACATGGCAGAATCACACTATTAAAATGTTACCGCTAACATAACATCGATCTTAATGACAATTTATATTACGCATATTATATGGTTTTTCTTAAAGTTATTTGCTAGTATAAATAATGTGTTCCATTATATATTATTTTCTTCTAAAATTGGAAGAAATCCAATTTCAGAATATTATTATGGAAACGTTCGGTGCCAAATTTTTCCGAACAAAAAACGTTATTCTTTCTTTAAAACTCTTTCATAGTTACAAAAACATAGAATCATTGATCATAATTTAAAGCTACAGACATGTAAGCTAGAAATATGTATTTGGAATTTTTTCTCGGGCGGAGTTTTGTTTGGGTTTCTTGAAGGTATCGAAAATATACATTGTACATTTTTTTCCTACCTATTCACTGGTAACTTAAGGGGCTTTACAGCTACGCCTGGATACAGGTAGGTGAGCTCACGGACTCAAACTGAGAGAATTTGCTGACACTAGCTAACTATACTGAGACCTTGGAGCTTATATCTCAAGGTGGGTCGCGCATTTATGTTGTAGATGTCTATGGGCTCCGGTAACCACTTAAGACCAGGTGGGCTGTGAGTTCGTCCACCAATTTATGCAATAAAAAAAAGCAAGAGCAGTGTTTCGCAGAATCGTCGTGGCCTAAAGGATAAGACGTCCGGTGCATTCGTGTTGAGCGATGCACCGATGTTCGAATCCCAGGCGGGTACCAATTTTTCTATTGAAATACGTACTCAACAAATGTTCACGATTGACTTCCACGGTGAAGGAATAGCATCGTGTAATAAAAATCAAACCCGCAAAATTATAATTTGCGTAATTACTGGNAGTGTTTCGCAGAATCGTCGTGGCCTAAAGGATAAGACGTCCGGTGCATTCGTGTTGAGCGATGCACCGATGTTCGAATCCCAGGCGGGTACCAATTTTTCTATTGAAATACGTACTCAACAAATGTTCACGATTGACTTCCACGGTGAAGGAATAGCATCGTGTAATAAAAATCAAACCCGCAAAATTATAATTTGCGTAATTACTGGTGGTAGGACCTCTTCTGAGTCCGCGCGGTTAGGTACCACCGCCCTGCCTATTTCAGCCGTGAAGCAGTAATGCGTTTCTGTTTCAAGGGTAGGGCAGCCGTTGTAACTATACTGAGATCTTAGAACTTATATCTCAAGGTGGGTGGCGCCTTTACGTTGTAAATGTGTATGGGCTCCAGTAACCACTTTACACCAGGTGGGCTGTGAGCTCGTCCAACCACCTAAGCAATAAAAAAAAGAATCTGCCATCGCGACCCACTGAGAAGATCTGGCATGTAACTCAGTGACTTCTGTCTCTGAGTTAGTTCGCACGTCCAACTCTTGAAGTCGCGTTGTCTCGTCGCCTCGATCGGATAACATTGTACTTATGCACTACACTACTATTCCTCACAACTGAAGACGCGGTCTTCTTCAAAAGAAGTTTGACAAGTGAACGTCAGGCAGCGGCTTATCTGTGTCCAAATCATTGTTGAAGTCTTTAGAGATCGATCGATAAAATAATCCAATACGAGCAGACTGAACTTGTATAGGACGTGATTAATGTAATGGAACAACAGGCTGAAAAAGGATTTTTGGAAATCTATACTAATATATAAATCTACAGTGGTTTTTACGGATGTTCCGTTATAACTATTGAACCGTGCATCCGATTGACTTGAAACTTGGTATCCATGTAGAAAATACATTTACTTAATGGATAGGCTAAATGTTAATTTTAAATGCCCAGCGAAGCGGGCGAGTACGGCTAGTGTAATTATATGAACTAAATGCCGTTATAGAAAACCATAATAATATTATTATATGTTATGCGTTTGAAAATAGAATAATAAAAATCGAGACACATAACTAAGCACGCTAAAATGTTAACTATATTAACATTGCGAGACATTAGTCATTCGTATCTCTGTTATAAAAAGGCGAGGAATAAGCATTGTAACTAGTTAATCAAAATGCATGAGTTCGAAGCATATCTAAAACATAACAATCGCTCGGGTAGTAACTAAATGTAGTCACCGAGAAGTTTATATGTATTTATAAATACATTACCGAGAATTATTATATTATAATCCATTACCGAGAACCGCCACATCAAGCTAAGGATTTCAAATTGAAATAGGAAGATATCTCGCTAGGGAGTGTTCGGTTAGGAAATTTGAAATTGGAATGAGGGTGATTGCTGATTTTTTGTTCGTCATGGTCTAAGAGATAAGACCACGGTGCAGTCGTATCAAGCGATGCGACTGTGCCGGTGTTCGAATCCCGCAGGCAGATAACAATATTTCTGATAAAATATGTATCAACAAAAGTTCATGAATTACTTCCACTCTGAAGGAATAACATCGAATAATAAAAATCAGACCAGCAATAAATATTATTTGCGTAATTTCCGGTGGCAGGTTTTTTTTTACCTAAGCTGATGGTCTTGAGGGACCATATCAGCGTCACCGGGCGAGTTGGTGAGCTTAAAGGCTCAAACCTGACGTTGTTGCTAACACGAACCCTAGTAAGAGGCGTGCTTCGCAGAATCTACCACCGGATTGGAAACGCGACCCTCTGCGATCCGGCGAGAAACTCAGTGGGCTGTGTCTGTGAGTTAGTTTACTCGCCGAGCCCTACGTCGCAAGCGACGGGTTCGACGAGAACAATGACCGGATGGTGGCAGGGCGTCTTGTGCGTTCGCACGGGTCGGTATCAACCCCCTGCCTATTTTTGCCATGAAAGAATTTTTGGTAACGGTTTGAAAAAAAAACAACGATAAAGTATCATCTTGTGTAATACAAAACTGAGTAATTACTAGTGGTATGGTGTAATGTGAGCACAATCAGCCATACGTTACTATTGTGCGTATATATCTACCGTGAAGCGTTTAGATAAGCGTATGCTTGGGCTTCCCTAATCACTAAAGCCGGGGGGCCTTGGGTTCGTCGAGACGCGGTGGAAGATGGTTTAGCGGTAGACATCGAGTTGGTTCTGCCCCTGGCATTGCTGAAGTCCATTGGCAACGGTCACCACCCACCATCAGGTGGACCGTATGCTCATCTACCTACAAGAGTAATAAAAAAATAAAAAAAAGCTTAATTTCGAGACGTTCATCCCACGCCTCTAAAAAAACGATTAGTTTCGATATTGTCACGTGTAATATATTATTATCATGTAAAACATGACGTGAAACAGTCAAACATGAAGCATCGCTTTAATTCGTTCTGCGGCATCGCACGATTATTACGCACTAGCGGCCCGATCCGGCTCCGCTCGGGTCTTTAACAAAAATTTCAACGATATTTGACGTTGTTTTATTTTTTTAAATAAAAGAACGCTTATTGCGGCATAACCNTATTGTCACGTGTAATATATTATTATCATGTAAAACATGACGTGAAACAGTCAAACATGAAGCATCGCTTTAATTCGTTCTGCGGCATCGCACGATTATTACGCACTAGCGGCCCGATCCGGCTCCGCTCGGGTCTTTAACAAAAATTTCAACGATATTTGACGTTGTTTTATTTTTTTAAATAAAAGAACGCTTATTGCGGCATAACCATAATAGTTAGACATATGTTGTTTACACCTTATTGAAGTTTTAGTAAAGATCCCAATTTTTTTATTTTTTCAAAAAAAATTATAGCCTTTGTCACTCGGGAATAGTGTAGCTTCCAAACAGTGAAAGAATTTTTCAAATCGGTTCAGTAGTTTCAGAGCGTATTCAATACAAACAAACAAACAAATCTTTCCTCTTTATAATATTAGTATAGATATCCATTCAAAGCAATCAAATCATCCTCTTCGAATACAGCACGTTGGTTAATAACAAAAATCAATATTGAAACCGCATTCGCGAGCTCGTATTTACGATTAATCGATAACAAAATACCAATATTTCTCCGGGCGATCAGTTAAGTCGCACTGAATCCGCTGCGAGGATATAATATAATAACATCCGTGCTGCCAATTAGTTAGAGCCTCGATTTTCATTCGATGTTACTTATTTATTTAATTAGTCTCATTACTTAATGAAGGTGCTTTATTTACTATGTAATAACCGAAAAGTTCGGATATCCGTAATGTGTATGTATACTTACTAATGATTTAGTACAAAGAATACAAATTACGGTTTTAATTATCTGTATGCTTAGTTCGAGTTTTTTAACGTTCTCGATAGCGTAAAAGTTAACTCAAATTTGTACAGAGTTGGATCG